GTCTAAGTGTCTTTCTGTTTGTGTGTGCACACACACCTGGCTCTGGTGCCTTGCAGCATCTGGCCTGCCTGGAATCATTTGCACTCCTCAAAGAATCCAAAGTCCTTTGTGACACTGAATACATCAAAACTCCATTTTCTCGTGATCTGTGTATTTAAGTTTGCTTCAATTGATTCCGCTTACTGTCACATTTTACTGTTTGTGCATCTGAATATGTGTTTTACATTAAACAGGATTAATTTTTTTGGGGAAGTGCACTTTTTCCTCTTCACTTTCTTTTGTGTTTGTGTGCTTTGAGAATTCATTTAGTTCAGATTACAATCTTATGTACTTAGTTTCCACCTTCAGTTCCTGCTAATTAAACCCATGCCGTATTATGTAGAGGTCTGTTAATCCCTTTAAAGAAACAGGTAGGAAAGTACATTTGCAACAACAAATACTCATGTTTGTGTGCATGTGTGAGCATGTGTGTGTCTGATACACTGAGGACAGAGTTAGGATGGGGAGCAGGTTGGATGGATATCATGTTGCTCCACCCAATTGGCTCCCATGTCATTCAGACTCCCCCTTTGGCCTTGATCTCTTGTAGAAATGGGGCTTCAGGGACATAGCGCACTCTCTCTTTCATACACACACTCACATGCACTCTCACGTACACACACATACACACAGACGCTAACAAAGCCTGACAGTTCGACTTTAATTTGAATATAAAGCAGATGAGTTGCTTTTTTTAGAAGTGGAGGACTGCAGGTTATTTTTTGTTTTCTGTAAAAAGCGATTGAGTTTTCAATATCTCAGCAGTTCAGACGCTGTTGTTGCAGTGAGTGTAGATAGTTGACCGGCTGTGATGTGAAATATTTCTTTCTCTGCTGATATGCCCTTCCAACTGTTTGCAGTCAAGAGGAGAATGTGAAAGATAGATAAAGAGTAGTTAAGGGCTGTTTCAGGGCTTTCTCAGTGTGTACCTTCAGCAGCATGAACGTACACCCACACGCACGCACGCACGCACGCGCACACACACACACACGCGCACACACACACACACACACACACACACACACACACACACACACACAAATTCCTGCAGCCCTAATAGTCCCAGAGTAGACCAGATGCCAGCGAACTGAGAGGTGGCTTGATCAGGTTAGATCTGATCATTTACTCGTTCTACTTTTTGTGTTAAGATTGTAACTCTGACCAAAAACATAAACTATGGTCATGAAGGAAATGCAACCAGAAAGCCCGTCACATAATACAGGTGAGTCATGGAAACATAAAGAATGTCACAGTTTTGATTTTTAATTAATATCACTGCTTTTTATGTTTAATACGTCTGTCCATCTGTTGAAAAACAATCTTGCTTTATATGTATATTTATATATTTATATACTGCTACTTTTGTTAGAGATTTAAATCTTTGTTTTTTCATGATGTATTTCAAGCTCTCCTGTTTCTCTGACAGTGTTTTGTCTCGATTTGAGAAAAAAATGTGTTTTCACCTTTTTTAAATGAATGATTAAATTTACAGATCAAATTTAAACACTTTTTTTGATAATAAAATATCCCTCTCTGTTCATTACTATTTTTTTAAACCCCAGATGTGCATAAAATGTGTCATAAAAGGACAATTTTTTATAATATTCACTCAAAAATTGCCGTGTTATCGTGGGCCGGCCTGATTAATAATGAAAGTGCTCACTTACTGCTGTCATAAGTGGAGTAAAAATATTCTATAAAGAAGTAATAGTAACGTACTTCAAGCCTGTTAAGTCAAACTAAACAAAATGCGGAAAATGTAAATACATTTCAGAAGGGTTATATGTCTTTTGTGCCTCTTTTAGTGAGATGGTAGTAAACACCAAATTCACTACAAAACAACTATATACTAAAGGGGGAAATAAAGACAAGAGGGAAGGGGATGTTTTTTTTTTTTACTTGAATCATTTTTTCTATAGATGTAGCAGAAAACAAATAATGTAAATGTTTACATTTTCTGGCATTATATAGTTATAGTTATAGGCAATGTTTCCGTTTTGATTAACTGATATGAAGAAAATTGATTTATTGGTTTAACAATGCATGCTACATATAGACTCACCTAAAGTCCTGTATAAAAGCTGGGCTAAAAAAAGGAGCAGGCAAAAGGATTAAGCTGTTGATTGGATATGGTTCCCAATTCACCTCCCTGCCAGTGACAATAAGAGAGAGAGAGGAGATACAATAGTAAAGGAGGGGAAAGAGAGGACAGGGAGAGAGGTGCTGGAGAGTGACTGTAATGAAGTTGAGACCTCTAACGGGCTGTCAGATCCTGCTCACTAACCGCATAGTCACACAAAACAGACACACAAACACACAGCCATTTGTTTGTTTGTGTGTGTGTGTGTGTGTGTGTGTGTGTGTGTGTGTGTGTGTGTGTGCCACACTGATAAATCTTAATTATAAAATGGAGTGCAGGCCATGTGCCATCTCATCATACCATGTCAAATCTCATAAGCAACCCACAAGAGCCCGAGAGGAAGAGCGGCAACAGTATGAGACAGAGAGAGAGAAGAAATGTGCAGACCACATTTACACAGTGGGAAGGAAAGGAAGGCAGGAAAACATGGGGTAAAGCAGAAAATAATATACAGAGGGAAGTTAATCTTTGTCTTGGATGTTCTGGATAGCATCATATAGCTCTTTAAATACTTGACTGTTTGTGATTAAGCCATCAACCTTGTCCATACTAATCAAAACATCTGCTGCTGCTGCTGCTGCTGCTAGCACTGGGTGGATCTAGTTTGTCCCAGCATGGGCTGGCGGATGGATACACTGTTCCAGCATGTCGGTGAAAGAATGGGGCTGGGGGCGTTGTTGTGGCCCGCTGAGTCATCGTGGCCAGGGTGATCTCTAAAAGCAGCCCCCCAGCCCCCCAGAGTAATGGTTAATCGTGGAAGGGTAAGTGTACCTGTGTGTAGGCCGAGCCCATTTGTGGCCAGTTTGCCGTGGGTTTTAGCGTGCCGTGGTGTGACAGGGCCAGTCAGGCGGATGGTGCGTGTGTTGTTGTAGCTGTGGCTGCGGGGAAAGCCCTGTACAAGCTGGGAGAAGAGATGGGGCTGCTCTCCCAGAAAAAAAAGGCTGGAAAAAAAAAAGTCCTTTTGTTGTCATGGCTGTTGTTTCACTCTGCTCAGGGTAACTGTGTCTGGACTGTGTGTCCTCCTGGTTGTCTGTCTCTGTTCCATTGGCACACTGGGTCCTATTCTGGACCCTGCCGTTTTGCTCTGTGGTAACAAAACCTCATACAGACATATTCAACTTCCTGAATGGTGGTTTGAACTCAGGAAGTGAAACCTTTGAACTAAAAAGTGCTGAGAAGAAAGTAGTGCATTTAAAATGCAAAAGGGCTAACCTGTCATGTTCACAGAAACTGGAAGTAACGTAATTCAGGATGCTTTTCATTGCTATTATGGACAAATTGGATTTTGAGTCCACACTCATTTAACTTAAATAAAACAAAAACATCAAGTCAGGGTTGTGGAGAGCAGATATAGAAAAGCATACAGTGGAAATGTTTTTTGTTGTTCCTATTGTTTTCAATGTTTTTTCAATATTTACAAAAGGAATCGGGACTATAAACATCACATTGAGGAGCTGTAGAAAAACTCCATGAATACATATGCACATATAGGAATGATACTGTATTGACTTGTACAACTGCAGTTTTTCAGTTTTTGTTGTCAAACCCAAAGAAACTTTCTACCTTGCATTAAGAGACATTGAAAATGTAACTTTGCAACAGGGTACCACTTCTTCTTCTGGAAATACCCATGCCTCTTCCTACTCTTGATCTACCCATGGATAGTTGCACAATTAAGCAAATTCAAATAATCTATATCTTAATTATACCAAATCAAAGAGGGACATTAAGCTGACAGGTCCTATAATTAGTATCATAATAAAACAAACAGGTTTTCTTAACCACTTTTTTTTATTTTTTTTTATCAAGCTTGGAATAGAAGTGCCCTTTCTTCTCAAAAAAAGGATTTCCTGCCGTGCATACAGCACATTGACTCCTTGTTGAAACCAACAATGTGTTATATGTGCAAACAGAATGTACATGCATGTTTAAGAATCTAATCCTGTGCCACATGTTTATCTCTGGGCAGCTCTCTGGTGCTACATGGTTCTCCTGTCCGTGTCTGTCGCAGGATAATTGCCTCTCGTTAGTCACTCTGTCACTCAGACCTGCAGCAGATACGACCGCAGAGCATCAGGCTGTCACTAAAAACCCATTCCACGCTACATTATCCTGAAGAAGTCCTTACTGTACAAATGAGAAAAAAAGAAGAAAAAGAACACATCCTGCAGAGAGACATACACACAGCAGGCTGCACATCAGAATTTTCAAGGACTAGAACTCTGACATAATTTACTGCCTCACTGCATTCAGCATCCGCTTTCTCTCGCCCGGCGCTTCATCTCATCCGGTTGGTGCTGCAGTCTGTGAATAACATAAATTCTCCTGTCAGAGTGTCTTCACTGTTTGAATTATGTGTGTGTGAGTGACGCTGCATCTACTGTGAGTGTATGTGTGTGTGTGTGTGTGTGTGTTTGTTTAAGTATGTTTGGGTGGTCTGAAGTGCTTTGAGTTTTACACTTACACCAGATGTGAGTTCAAAAACATTGATTTTTTTTCTATTTATTTTTCTTGTAAAATCTTTTTTGAGACAAGATGTCTTTAACAAGATAAAGTTGGCTACACTTGAAATCCCCAAAACTGGGCTGTTGCTTGCAGAGAAGTAGACTGTGTAAAAAAAGACTCATCAATATATATCATAAAGGTCTTAACATGTACATAATTGTTCTTTCTTTTACAGGTGAATCCATCTGTCAAACACAAGCCTGTTCAGTATTTGAGCGTGTTTCTGCTGTCTGTCTACTGTCATTTCTGCACGCTCAGGTCACAGCTCCATTATGTCACCGAGACTAACTGAGTTCTTCTGTCTTTGTTTCTGCAGGCACAGAAATCGTGGATAGAAAGAGCGTTCAGCAAGAGAGAATGTGTTCATATCATAGTGAGCGCCAAAGACCCCCATAGGTGAGTAAGAAAATCTCAAAGCTTCTGATTATTATGCATATGTTACCCTAAAAGAAAACATATCAGTCTGCTTTTACATGTGAGAGGAGCAAGACATCAAGACGAACATTAAGGCCTGATCTTTTTAGTGGAAAAACATTCACATGTTGAGAATTTCACTGTGTTTTTAATTGTTTTAAAAGTGAAATACTCTTATAAGCAAGTTAGCTAATCAGCGGTTATGACACACCTCAAATGTTGCAAATGAAGTGCCCTGTTTCACCACTGACCTTTTAAAACATGCCTCGCAGTAATATCACGCTGGCCTCTATTTGCATCATAGGTAACAGCTCTGAATTAATGAGCTAAAACACCAAAAATATACTTTTTAAAACCATGAACGTGAGATTCAGAGCCATCTCTGATGGTGAGTAACACTCACTGGAGCTTCTGCCTATTGGTATGGCAAGTGTTACTGTTAAAATAAACTTACGAGGGAATTCTCTGTTAAATACTTATACTATGACATGATAGTTATCATAAGAGCACTTTAGTTAAATAAAATTCAGTTTTGAGAGACACTTTAGCACTTGATATCTAGAATTTCCTCTCATCCTGCTCCTATAAAGTCACTGTGACGTTATCCAAATCTTTACTACAGCTGCTGTTGCTGTTGTTGCTTAGGGTGACAACCTTAGAGAAGTAGAGTTTAATTCCCTCCGGCCCTCGTACACCCTCATGAACACACAAACACACTCAAGCATACGCAGGAAATGCCACTGTTAGTTAGGTAAACAGAATTACCATAACTGTAGGAAACGCGAGTGGAAGCCAGGAGGAGAGGAAAAAGGATGTTCCTCAGAATCAAATCAACCTTTTTCTTTTCAGTCAAAAGCACTTGTGTTAACGTGTGAGGCAGAAGGAGGCAAAGTACCTTTGGTATGAGATGACGGAACCATGAAGTGATAATCAAAGCCTCCTGACTCCCTTTATTTCTGGAGCTCTCACTGCATCCTGTGAGGCTAAAATGCAGAGTATGAAAGATGCTTTCAGTGCATCTCTATAAGCCAACTCATGCAGGAATACTACAAGTCATATAAAAGAGAAAGAAGGAGAAGGAGAATGAGTGAAAGACAAAATACAGAGGTTTGTAGAGAGCGACAAAAACAAAAGAAAGAGTGCTAATAAAAGATGGCAGAGGCCTGCAGATCACTCTCCCCCTACACTCCCTAACAGGGTTGAAATTCAGATGACAAGCTGTCACTTCAGCTTCTCACTTCTAAGCGCACGAGATAGTCATATCTCACCTCTTCTCTCTCTCAGTCATGCAATCTCCCTCCTAATTTCCTTCTTTTCAACCTCTTTGTAACAGTAGCTTCTTTTGGGACACTGGCTTTCAAAGTTTCAGAAATTATTTTTAAAGAACAGTTGTCATAACTTTGTAAAACATCCTTTTCTTCTCGATCAGGTGCTGTTGTGGTCGTCTGATAGGTCAGCATGTGGGCCTGCCCCCGGGCATCTCAACCAGTCAGAATGACAAGGCGGACCGTTTGGCCAAGAATGACAGCCTGTCGGAGAAGTGGTCGATCAGCAAACACACACAGCTCAGCCCCACGGACGCCTTCGGTACCATCGAGTTCCAGGGAGGAGGACACTCCAACAAAGCCATGGTGATGACTCCCATTACAAAACAACAGTGTTGCTTTGTGTCAGTGTCCTGCAGAAACCTTGCTTTCGAATTGAATTCCATCATGCCTGAAACTACACAAATTCTGTCATGGAAGCATTCTCTTGAGTGACATAAAAAAGTTGAAGAATACATGTATGGGATGCACAATTTCCCCCCAAAATTGTCACAATCTGATGCTCAAAATGTGAAATTTCTTGGGATAAAGGATACATAAATGGAGTTATATACCCATGCATGTCAACAAAAAGTACATTTACGTGGAGATTTAAATTCCAGTTGTTTTTAAACAGACCTTGTGTTCCTTGCTGAATATACTGTAAGAAGTATTGCAGTAAATAAAAAAATGCTTGTGAAGAAAGCAGTGAAAGCAAAAAGTAAAACATTATTTTCTGTGATTTGTAGATATTTTCCTGAGCTGTAGAAGTCTGACACAAACTGACAGCAAACCGTTCCAGAAGAGGAAAGTGTTTTGAGCCTTAACTGACAGAAATACATTCACCTCTTTGTATGGATGGCACTTTGATACCAAGGCAGGGAAAATGTTGAATATTCCAATGATTGCCAAGTTTGTGTCAATTAATACATTTCATACATATTCTTGATGGAAATGACATGTAATGACGACTCCTTCACAGTGCTTGTGTAGCTACCTTAGTCCACTTTCTCTTCAGATTACAGTGAGGCTATCATGTTCATCAAATTCAAAGTTGTCACACATGAATAATGATCAAATTCACCATATCAGTATGCATTAAGATTACAGTAAAATCAATCAATTATATGAAAGTACATTTAATTATCGATTTAAGTGACTTAAGTGTCTAGAGACTGCAGCAATAAAAACTTTCCTTGATTAATCCATCCATCCTTAAAATAGTCTGATTGTGCACTATGGTAACCATGGTGACAGAATCACATCACAGAAAGCGTAGCATACAGGGAATTTAGATGATTGAGAATGAATATTTTCCAACTTATTACCAGTGTTGAATTACTGATTCAGATACGGCAGTTTGGCTGTGTGGCGATGAATAAGATAAACAGATGCTACATAAGGCATGTGGCTCTCAATCAAAACAAACATCTGTGCAGTAAATCTATAGCTTAAAAAAAAAGTACACTAATATTATAAAGGAAATCAATGCACCTGGGCTAGTCGGAAACAGGGATCCCTTTTTTAATTTTTACTTTTACAGATTATTTTCCTGTTTGAAAAATTAAAACTATCTATTCAATGTATCAATAAATTCTAACATGTTGTGGGTTTATGCGGGTGTCTCGGGCACATGCAGACTTTGAGTCATCAGGTGCTTAAGCAGGATGCAGATATTTACTATAAATCACTGACACCTACCCCGCTGTTTTTCAGTACGTGCGCGTGTCATACGACACCAAGCCTGACCTGCTGCTGCACCTGATGACCAAGGAGTGGCAGCTGGATCTGCCCAAGCTGCTCATCTCAGTCCACGGAGGCCTGCAGAACTTTGAACTGCAGCCCAAACTCAAACAGGTCTTCGGCAAAGGGCTCATTAAGGCTGCAATGACAACAGGAGCCTGGATCTTCACCGGAGGGGTCAACACAGGTGAAGTGAAAATTGTGCATATTGTCATACATATTGTGACAATATGTATGACAATATGGACTGGATCTTGAACATATTAAGTTGAAGGTTGGAGGTGTAAAAGCAGTTCATGGAAATTGAGTAACATTTTTGTGACAAAGTTGAAATGGATATAGGGAAAATGAAAAAAGAAAGCTGGCTGACTGACTTGCAGATCATGAATAATGCACAAATGTATGGAGTTATCAGGCCTTTGGGAGTAGTTTCTGTGATGAAACTTGAACCCCCCTGTGTTTCTGATCTCAGTAAGCCATAGTTAGTGGAGTGTTGTGAAATTAAAAAAATACTCCTGTATGTGTTCTACAGGACATTAAAATAACAGAATATTAACTTAATTATTACATTTTTCACTTTAATAGTTATATTTGTGTATTTTTAAGTCTATAACAAGGGTCTTCAATTTAAATTCAACAAGGTCTGGTTCGAGAAAATCTTCTCAAGCAAAGGTCCTGATGATACTAATATCAAACCTGTGATACGATTCAGTACCATTTATATTGTAGTGGCATAGCACTTCTATTTACGTACGTAGGCAGTCAACAACTGACTGTCATGCAAATAAAGAAAAAGAAAGTACAAAAAATTGAAAATAATTACTTTTAGAAAATTAAAAAAGTTGTACAATGATTTTCTCCTTTTTTCTTGTTTTCAAATCAGCTTATATTCAAAACCAATTTTATGATAAACACTTTCAACATAAATTTGAAGTTGAACAGTTATGACGCCTACTTTTTTCTTTCTTACCCTCTTATAGCCCACTCTCACACTTTTTAAGTCAGAGAAATGAGCTTTAGCTCACCCTGTCAAGATTTTAAATCTGAGCTGAAATTGTGTCAGACAACCCCCGATTAGAGAAAAGATTTTCATGTTGACCTAAAACCAAAGCAACTTTAAAGGAAAACATGTGCTGCTTTGATTTAAGTGTGTAGTATATGATCGCTCAAACTATTTGTGATTTGTCATAGTAACAAAGTGGTTTTTAACTGAAAGTCTATTCATTCTTAATTATTAAAAGCTCAAGGTTTGCCCTTCAGTGATGCCCAGTATACTCAAAGTAGGCCATTTCAGTCATTTAAGAGCCTCCAGGCTCTGTCTACTTGGAGGAGCAGGGCATTTCTGTCAGGGGGTTTCCACTTGGAATCTGTTCTGTTTTGCCGGAGAGGCTGACAACAGATGCCTGCGTCTCAGGTTGGGGTGTTGTGTGGCAGGGCAGTTCAGGGGCTGCTAGCTGTGCATCTAGCACTAAAGGACCTCCTGTCATATCTGAGAGGGAAACCTCCTGCCGTATCTGAGAGGAAAACACATGCTAGTACGGTCGAACAACATATGTGTACTGTGTTTCATATGAACCATCAAGGGTGTACTAGGTCTGCACTGTTCCTGAAGGTGTTGCTGGGTCTTCTTTCAGCCCCCGCCTGGTCAGCCTGCAGTACATGTGTCTACCGGGAGAACAGAACCAGGTTGGGTACTTCCTCTCCCAACAAAAGCCCTGTCAAAAGAGTGCGGTTTCAGAGTTGGTGAAGGGCATCTTGGGCCTCTTTGGGGCCTGAGAGACGACAACCCATTACCCACTCCCAGCCCTCACGGCCAGGATGCTCTGACTCACGAGTTTCAAAAGGAAGGATCACCTGTCTCGGTAGGAGGGTCAGGTTTGGCATACCAATCCCTGTCGCAATTAGCTGTGGGTGTGGACACCGATGGGGTTGACCCACTGCTGTTGAGCAATTGCATAGAGCTTGTCAAGACTACCATTCTGAATGCCAGAGCGCCATCAACTCACCTGAAGTATCAGAAAGGGTGGAAGTTGTTTTCCACCTGATGTAGAGTTTGGAATTTGGACCCTGCACTCTGTTCTGTCCCTATGATCCATGAGTTTCACCTGTCCCTTGGGTTGCTCACCCTGGACTTTAGAAGTATATACTGCGGCAATCTACGTGCAACTTGTGGAAGTTGATCGCCACACTAGAGGCGGACACAGGCTGGTGCCCCTAGGCTGGTGTCCCTCTTCTTGAAGGGAGACTGCGCCCCCTAGAGACACCAAAAACACCGGCTTGTGACTTACCCCTGGTATTGGATGCCTTATTCGTGTCTCCATTATAACCCTTAGACCAGGCAGTGTTTAAGTGGCCATCTGGGAAAACTGCTTTTCCCCTTGTCTTTACCGCACTAAAATAGTTGGGATAGCTAAACGCCCTGTCAGTGAGTGATTTGTGTCTGAGATGGAATTCAGATGGCTCAAATTTCACTCTGTTGCCAAATGCAGCTTTCCTTCCTTACACACTCACACCTTGACCAGCCTATTATATCCAGTTGGCAAAGAATGACCCCTCATTGTGAGAAGGGTAACAGGCAAGACTGTTGTTCCGCTTATGTGCTTTAAGCAGCTGAACATCTCTATGTCTGTCATGGTGGTGCTAAGAAGGGGTGCGCTCCAAACAGCGCCTTTCCCACTGGATTGTTGAGACAATCACCAATGCTTACAGCTCGGCAGGCCATCTGGGGTGAAGTGTCACACTACCAGAAGTGTCTCCACATCAAGGGGTGATTCTTAGAGGGGTGCCCTAGGAGGTAACCACAATTCTATGAACCCTGGATGACTGCCAGAATTCTTAGTAACTCGGAATCCATGAGACGCCATAATACTTTGTGGGTCATGAGCGCTCAGAGGACACCAGTAGTTAAACCGGTCCAGGGGTCATCTGAGGCCACACCTGACAATATAGATAAAAATACTGGACATGTGCCTGCGCGAGATGTAGATATCCACGGAGAAGAACTCTAGGGTTCATAGAACCGTAGTTACCTTCGTAACCTTCGATATTATAAGGCAGACGCACAGAATAATGGCGCACTGGATACTGTACAGTTCCCAACCCTTAAATACAGAAAGAACAACAGCGAGTAAGAGTTAGTGACAGAATGGGTGCATAGGAAGAATAACATGAATGAAGTTCTGAATAATGGATGGAGGGATCAACTGGAGCGGTGACTGAGTGTGGAGGTGGAGAAAGAATGAATGTCACCAGGAGAGATTGGATGCGATGGCTCTCAGGACTGCTGCTCCCCAGAGAATGACAACTACTTGGAACTACGACCTGTGTGCGTTTTAAACCTGTGTGTGTGAGTGTAGGTTTGTGTGTATCTGTGTATATGTGTGCGCACACGTTCAATCAGGCTGCCACACAACTGTTCCTAATTGATTCTGTTAATCTTTCACAGCAGAGTGTATCATTATCCATGTTTAGGCTGTGTATTGATCATGACAAAACTGATTTCATCTATCTCTCCCTTCTGCAAACAATCTTTATGCAAACGCCCACAACATACACACAGGGGTGATTCGCCATGTGGGTGATGCTCTAAAGGACCACGCTTCCAAGTCAAGGGGGAAGATCTGCACCATTGGCATCGCTCCATGGGGCATCGTAGAAAATCAAGAGGATCTTGTTGGCAAAGATGTGAGTCACTGACAACACTAACAGAGGAAGATTAAACAGTAACAATATGAGTGACTGCAAACATGCTTTAGCCCTTTGTGTGTGTGTACTGAAGATGTGAAAATTGTCAGGTGCAGTCCACAGTTTTCAAAGCCTCTAAATTGCAGTTCAGGGTTTATTAACTGAGATGCTGAGTAAGCCACTTCAGTCCTTGATAAACACTTATTCAAAGTGAGCTGGACAGCTGGTGGAAGCACATGCTGATTCGTTCAAATCTCGGGAATCAATGTTATGCTATAATTACAAATTTCATCACAAAGTGCTGCACAGTGTACAGCTGAACAAGTCAAGCAGAGCCATTAGATGGTGGGGGCTAAAATGAGATTATTAAGTGCTGGAGCTCCTTGACATGCTTCATTGGTCTCAACTGTATGTCTAATGATCAGAAGAGTTCACCTCAGACTGTCGGCCCCTTCCCTAGTCGATCCAAGTCCTACCTCCTGAGAAAACATTTAAGTGTAATTAAGTATATCTTAACAATAAAGGTGTTAAAAATGATGGATTGTGTGATTGTATCAGGGTTTCTTCACAAGCTATCTCTTCATGAGATCCTTGAGTAAAGAGTTGTAACTATTAACAATTTTGTGAAGATAGAGCTATATAAAGTACTGTACTTCTAAAAACTCAACCACTTGTAAGAGACATATTTGAAGTGTCATCATCTGTGCAGATACATCCTCACTTCAACTACCAAGTATGAGTCAAGCTCTGATGTGCTTAATCCAACATTTTCTCAACACTAGTTCCTCTTAATCCTATCTCTGCCAGCAAAATGTAAGCTGTACTTTGTACCTTAAGGTTGCCATTAGAATCAAACACACCATTATACAACTATTCTGGAGTAGCCCTCTACATGTGTCTTTAAATCTTTAGATATAAAAACTATGGTATGTTCCTTTAATAAAAACTGTTCATTTTGAAGTAAACCTTGGTTACATTCCTGAGGAAAAATACTCTGTCATTATGTGTTTTCTTTGTTAGGTTGCCACATCTAGCGTGGGTTTTTTAGTTGTTTGTTTTGTTGTTAAATGTCATCTTCTCTTATGTAGGTGGTGCGTCCATACCAAACCATGTCCAACCCCATGAGCAAGCTGACAGTTCTGAACAGTCTCCACTCCCACTTCATCCTGGCAGATAATGGCACCACCGGAAAGTATGGCGCTGAGGTCAAACTGCGACGCCAGCTAGAGAAACACATCTCCCTGCAGAAGATCAACACACGTGAGTGGAAGTTCCTGTTTGTGCTGTCATGGCTCTTACTATTACCCGGCTGACCTACTTACCTTTTATTAGAGAAGGTGTTTTTGTTTTTTTAAATGACACAGAGAGTGAGTGATAACCACATAAAGAAACCGTTATCATTGTATTGTCAACGACAACACTGGGGGTTAATTGAGGTCAAACTCTGTTTAATAGCCACAGCCAGACTAAAATCACCATTATGTGCTTTTTACTGAACACATGCTGTCAGACAGTGTATTTTTAGTCTGCTTTGATAGCACTCCACAAGCCTTTGAAAGTGTTCCTGCCTTCAGGAGGGGTTTTTTTATTTATTTATTTATTTTACTGTTAAAGCTTCCTGACAACACAGATGAACTTCTCACATGAACCTGCCTGATCATTTCTGTCTCTCACCAAGCTGCCAAAACGAGCAAACAAACACGGACATAATGACAGCAAACAAACCAATGTACAGTATGTGTACACACATTTCTTTGTGTACTGCTGATTTAAAGTACATTAGGTTTCACTTAAGTACAAGAAACAGAAAGTACATCAGATGTTTGTAACTACTTGTTTACTTTTTTGTATTCTCTCATTTTTGGTTACGTTAAAGTTCAAACCAATCCAAACATCGTACCATAAGGGGCGTTTTAAAACACTGGGTTAGTATCATGAAGGACAAGGTGGCCTCATTTTTTTGTAATTCCTCAGACATTGTTGTTTTACAAATCACTTTTTGTGTTGTCATTTTAAAAATTAGTTGCATCAAAAGTGCATCATGTGCTGATATAATTCCAGGAGGATTTGTTAGTCCAAGGACTTAGGTTTGAATGTTTTAGTAATGTGAATTGGTATCTGCAAATGCATAAGACGATTTTGTGTGGAGGGTTCTTCAGCTGATGAGACCTTGTCACTGCATTTTTCCGTTTTCAATTCCCACATTATTCCCTCACTAGAAACCAAATGGATTTGCATGAATACAAAATGCATTTCTCCATCATTTTCTGTCTCATTCCCTTATTCTTATTCTCACACACATACAAAAGACACAAACACACATACCTAACTTAAACCTTTAAATACATTTCTCAATTGCCTCTCACAGCATTGTCAGCGTCGGGAACAAACAAAGACTCAAAGAAGTACTCTTTAGTGCAATGATTTGTTAGTAATTACCTTCTTTTGCAATCATGAAGTTATATGATCATCATTTCCTCAGGGCTCTTGACACGAATGCGCAATGATTGTTACATTTAATCCTGTTTAAAAACAGAGGCTATAGAGAAAACGATTTTACCAAATCCATGTTTACAGTGTCAAGAGCAAAGTGACACCTCAAATGTTTACTGTGTCAGCACCTTTTGTATTCAGTTTCTGACCTAGTGCTGATGTTAGCTGATGGGGACTTTATGTGGGGGTGATGAACGACACTCAGAATGAATGTTTATTTTAGCTTCCTTATTCCTCCTATCAACTTGACATCAGGGATTTAAGAAATTCCTCTTTGGATTGAGAGGATACACACATTTACTCTCTCCCTGTTCATCTTCAAGTCATGTGACCTTTGGACTTCCCTTTGTCATCCTATGCCTGGAATCATACAAAAGGGGCTGGGAAGGCAAAGGGACGCCCAGTCGTCATATAAGCTTCTGACCATCCATGTTATAGTTATGCACAGCGTCCTTCCCAACTTCATTCACTAGTTTTAACTGCATGATACAAGGTGAGCATTAATGCTGCTTTGGATGTCACAATACAGCAAAGGGTATTTTGTGTGGGTTTTGCTTATTGGTAAGATTAAATGAAAACATTTCACACAAAATTCACAGAGAAGACAGAAATATCTAGTCACTGGGACAATGGACAGACATACAATCGTAACCCAACAGGAAGATAGGGAACAATGTTAGTAATATATGTGCTACTGAGCAACCCTTAATACGGAGGTATCCCTTTCCCTGTCCGACTTTTTTTCCGACTAACCCTAAGACCTTAGTGTTGTCAGAAGTCTCATTGATAACAAGCTTCAGCTTTATAACACATCACTGGGGTTGTCTTTAAGTGCTATATTAGTCAATATGGATCTGTAGCACCAATCAAAGTTGCTTATATTGAAAAAGACTACAAGGTTATTTGGTGTTTGATATCTTTGACAAATCCACCTCATTTTCCCTTTTTTGTATTACGACTTTTGCTACAACTGCTATTGCCATTTTGCAAGTGAATTTGCAGCACCAGAGTGCCATTGCTGTATGTTTGTGTGAGTCGTACTGTACCTAGTTGAGCATGTGTTTCCTTTACTTCCTCATTCAGTGCTGCAGGGTGTGCAGACAAGGACCATTTCTTGATTTGATTACCTGTCGAGGAGTACATCAATTTTCCTCGCAGCAGGACTCTCTTGGGATTCCAGTGTAGCCTGAAGTCCTGTCAAGGGAAGGCGAATAAAGAAAGTAAAGAGAGTAAAAGGCAGTTTAGCCTGAATGGCCTAACACATGGTTTGCTGACCACGCGTTACCACAACTCCATATTTTTCTTTTAACGCACAGTCACACACTGCACACAAGATGAAAGAAGTGAGGTGGAGATACGTGTAATCTCCCCCTGTGGTATTTTTGTGATGTATGGGCAATCCAGCAGCTAATCCTACTGTGCCTGTACTCTATGCAATTTTTTTATGCAATGGCATAAATCATCATGTGACTGCCAGAAATGCTTTAGTAATCAAATTGGCTCCCCACCATTTTAACACATGTCTTTGAGTATGGGAGTCATTTAAATTAAGCAGATGTATTGGCTTTTATACATTATTTCACTTTAATAATCAAATCTAGGTGATGATAATTCTGAAACCTTGCAAAAAAAAAAGAGTAAATTCTGATCACTCTGCACATTACACATCTCCATTGCAACCTATGGGAGCACTTTTGGCACCTTTTTTTTACTGCATTCTCACTGCTTACTTTTTTCCCTCTGGTCTCTGTTGTATATTTGATGTCGTGGAGGCATTTGCAATGTGTGGTTTTGGATCCTCTTCAGGGACTAGTAGACAGGAATATCCAAGGGACATCTGTGAATGAGTGGTAAAAGAAATAAATGTCTTACAACAGGAAACTGCGGCTGCTGGCACGCTGTAAATATGAAGGATGGTGCCAGAGTGTTCGCATGCTAGAGTGAACACTCAGTACTATGCCCTGCCGTGTACGCACATACATGTCTCACATGAGACTTGTTCAGCCATTCATGGTCTAGTTTGATAGAACCTTTAACTAGAGCGGGATATGCAAATTAACCTGGATTAATGTGACAGGGAGGCAGCACGGGATGCTTCACATGCAAACAGAGGGACAGAGCTTAGGGCCAGTGATTATAAATATATTGCACTACTAACTACTTTAAAAACTGTATTCCTTATCATAACACATTCTCATATGACTCTTTAAGGTTAAACACATAGGGCCATATTCCCTATTCAACTACTCCTAGGCAACTCCTGAAGTTAGCAGACATTGTCAAGCCTAGAAAATAAGAAAATCAATAAAACGATTGGCACTATTCAGCACAGCTCACTCAACCATTGCACAGCTCTTTTGATATGTCTCCAGCTGCAGCCACAATGCTTTTTAATCACACACCTGCCTCAGAGAGGTGACAAGTGAACGAGGAAGGGGGTAGAGTGAGAAAATGAAGGGAGAGAAAAGGGATTGGGGGTGAGCGGAGAATTATATAAAGCACAAAAATTATATAAAGCATGAAGGACAAGTGATGCAGCTGAGGAGGATGCAGGCATTGGGACGAGATATTACCTTAAGGTATGTTCAACAAAATGTGTGATGAAATAGTGAAAGGCCTCAAGAAAAAGGGCTTGATTGAGTACATTCCTGAATGTGTTTTATGTTCTCTCTTAATTGAACTGGAAGAATAAAGAAAAAACCTTCAACCCATATTACCTCAAAGTTTGTTTAGCACATGTGAAAATATAACACAGGATGCCACATGCCAGGTTCAAATGAAGTAAAAGCAATTAATTTGCACAAGTTCAGATAAGCAACGCAAGAATGAATAATGCACTTTGAGTGTGCCCTCTCCTCAATTTCACCTGAATTACTCAGAATATTAAAATGTGCACATGCAGTAGGTACTTTGTGTGTTGAATGTGTACAGAGATGTTGGAATGTGTGTGGGGGTGTTTTGAATGTGTGTGTTGTGTAACCTTCAATGACCCTCGTATGGCGCTGATTTCATTAATCACAGCATAGGTAAAGGATGAAGTAAGCTTGGGTAATTGAATCCAGCCATAAGGTCTTCCATTGCAGATTAGCTCTGACATTGTGACCTCCACTCAGTAGTTCCCCATACAGAGGATATTACAGTTAAGCATGGACACATTGGAATTCAAGAGGGTTGTAATACTCTTCTTATAGTGCTTGGACAAATTCTTGATTTTATGAGGATATAGCCTATGATATTGCCCATTTTTGGCTACCCAACTTTGGAACAAGCAGGCTCTTTTTTTCTTTCTTTTTTTTACACATATCACACAGCTACAGTGTGAATCTGGCTTAGAAATGTCACCCTCTGCTAAATGTGACTGTTTCAAACAACACACAAATAGCAGAAAAATATTATGAAGTTCATCATGCCTCTGAATACTTGACATTCAGATTCAATTTCAATGTTAACAACTGTATTCAGTTTTAGAAACAATCAATATTATGAGCTACATAAATTAACATTTTTATGTTCTTTCTATTCTCTGGTCTTTGGTTTTGGTACTTGTGGTTGTGCAGCATTGATGACATGCTGAACTGACTTAATTCTGAGTCTCGTGGGCTGAATGGATCAAAATACATGTCAAAATGATAAATATTAACCGCAAGAGTGCTCAGCCCTGTGGTGCAGAGATAACACAGCCAGTAGTGGGTATGATTTCATGGAATAGTTCCAGGTTGAGGATGTGCATGGACGGCAACATGTGATGTGATGTGCTGTATGGGAAT